TCTTCTCCTCCTCTTCTTTTCCTTTCTCCTTCTCTCCTTCCTTCCCCCTTTCCTTCCTCCTCCACTCGACAGACTTAAACACTGGGACGTATCTTAACAGAATGAAATTCAATGTAGAGAAAAATAAAGTCCTACACTTAGGCAAAAAAAACCCCCAAAAGGACACATATAGATTGGGTGAAACCAGGTTTAATAGCAGTAATTGGGAGAGGGATCTTGGCGTCTTAGTGGACAACCAGCTAAATAGGAGCCAGCAGTCTGCAGCCGCCACCAAAACCAATTTAATCCTAAACTGCATTAACAGAGGGATACAATTGAGATCAAGGGAGGTACTAATACCCCTCTTTAAAGCCTTAGTAAGGCCACACCTAAAGTCTGCATTCAGTTTTGGTCACCACACTATAAAAAAGAGATTGAGACTGCAGAAAAAAGTGCAGAGAAGAGCAACCATAAATTTATTTAATTAATATCGCCGCCTATTCGCCCATGGCCACTTGAGGCGGCTTACACAATGTCAAACCATCTTTAAAAAAAAAAATTAAAAAACAGTAAAAACTAACAAAAAGAATCAAATCAATTAGTAAAGTACAATAGAACAAAATTTGGAGAAAAAAAAGAAAGAAATACGATGAACGGTTGCAGGAACCGGGCCTGGCTAGCCTAGGGAAGAGAAGGACCAGGGGAGACAGGAGAGCAGCCTTCCAATATTTGAGGGAGGGGCTGCCCCAGAGAGGAAGAGGAGGGTCAAGCTATTTACCTGAAGGCCAGACAAGGAGCAATGGATGGAAACTGATCCAGGAGAGATTCAACCTGGAAATAAGGAGGAATTTTCTGACAGTGAGAACAACCAACCCATGGAACAAAAGTTGCCCTTGGAAGTTATAACCAAGTTTGTTCCTTTTTCAAAAGGGGGAGGGCACCTTTGTCAGCACCCAAGAAAGCTGAGTAACTCATCCTCAGGTGGGGGTGGGGGGGTCGGAGTTGTTGTACCTGTCTCAAAAGCTTGCGCAGCTCTTCGGTTTGATTCATGTGGGGAAAGTGTTAACGGATCTTTCTTCTCCACCCCCCCATATTGTGGGAACCCCTGTGCCGTTGGGGGGGGAAGGAGGGGGCTCCGACACAGCGCCGGTGCTGCTGTTTGTTGCGCGGTGTGGTTTTGGGGTGGGGGTGGGGTGTTGTGCTCGCAAACAGGTGCAAAAGAGGCCACCGAGAAGCGGCTTTTGTTTGGGAAAGGAGAAGGTCGGAAGGGCCACCTTGGAAACAACAGCCAAAGGGGAGGGTGGAAGGGAGGGAGGGAGGGGTAAGGCCAGTTTTTCCTGGCCTGGGTTGACCTTCTACCATCCCTTGGAACGAGGGTGAGCTTAGGGCCCTTTTGCAACCAGGAGCAAACATACACCTCGTGCGGGAAAGTTTGTCTGCATGTAATTGACCCCTTGTGAGAACCTCCCCTTCACAGGGACTAGTGACATAACTGCACAATGTTCAGGGCCCACGAGGACCAAAGGATGCCCCTCTTCTTCTTCTTCTTCTTCTTCTTCTTCTTCTTCTTCTTCTTCTTCTCCTCCTTCTTCTCCTTCTCCTTCTCCTTCTTTTCCTCCTCCTCCTCCTCCTCCTCCTCCTCCTTCTTCTTCTTCTTTTCCTCCTCCTCCTCCTCCTTCTTCTTCTTCTCCCTCTCCCTCTCCTTCTCCTTCTCCTTCTTCTTCTTTTCCTTGAAATGCAGACCCCTCACAAAAAAAACCACATTGAGGGCAGAGAACTGGTGTCGCCTGCCCTCCAGTGTCCGTCGACGCCGTCGTGGTGGTACCGAATCCGTAACCGGATGTGAAAACATGGGTGAAAAGAAAAAAAAAAAAGCCACGCCGATTCCTGACAATGCATTCTTCACTTCCCCTCCCCCTCATGTGTGTGTGTGCACGCATGTGTGTGTGTTTGTGTGTGTGTGTGTGTGTGTGTGTGTGCTTCATTTCGATTTGCAGCACCCCCGTTGACCACAGGTTGAAAAGTTGAAATTTACCGGCAGGACCCAATTTTTATTTTCGTATTTTTTTTATTTTGGCTAAAAGTGAGAGTAACCTCTTACTGGCAGCTCCATCAAGGAGGACCAACTGAGTAACTGAAAAGCTGACTCAACTCAACTCCCGAGGCTTCGCTTACCAGTAGCAGCTTTTGAAGTCGAAGGGAAGAAAATATATCTGGTTGTTGTGGTTTTTGCGATACCTTCTCTCTCTCTCTCTCTCTCTCTCTCTCTCTTTTTGTCTTTCCGCTTGTTATTTTGTCACTACGGGGGGGGAGAGAGAGAGAGCGGAGGGAGACAATAGCGGCGTGTTGAGACGGTGAGGAAGGAGGATTGGGGCGCTCATGGGTTGTCCTCGAGGGTTTCTTTTTGGTCTTGTGAACGGCGGCTCGCTGAGTGACCGTCGGGACGTCACCACGGCACCGGGGGGAAAAAAAGGAACTTGCGGCCGTTTTTCCTCCCGTGCAACTTCAACGGTCCCGCGATCGGAATTCAGACGCTCAGCAACTGACTTGTGTTTACGATGATTGCAGGCTCCTGGGGGTCACATGGTCCCCTTTTGTGCCCTTCTGACAACCACAGTCCATGGGAAGCCGGATTCACTTAATGACCGTGTTACTAATTAGTAGTTAGAACAATTAGCTGGTGGAACGGCTGGGCACCTGAAGTTGTGGGGGTTTCGGCTGCTAAATTGCACAACGGCCCTGCGAGGTGGGCTCCTCGGTCTCTTTTCCAAACAGCAGGCAGTACAGATCAGAGCCAAATGCTGGTGGGAGGGAGAGGATTTTCCACCCAGGTTCTGTACAAGTTGTACTCCTCGACTTACGACCACACAGTTGAGCCCAACATTTTCCGTTGCTAAGTGAGACATTTGCTGAGTGCGTTTTGTCTCCCTGTTACGACCTCGCTTGCCACAGTTAAGCGAAGTTAGTCACCGGATTGTTTAAGTTTGTTTAAGGGGTGCTGCAACAGTTGTAAGTGTGAAAACTGGTCATAAGTCACTTTCTTTCAGTGCCGTTGTAATTTCAAATGGTCATTAAATGAACTGTTGTAAGTCAAGGAGTAGCTACACTGCCCTTCCCTCTTCCTGGCATGGATTGTAGATCTGCTGCCTCCCTCCACAGGCACTACCTCCAATTTACGCACAATTTTTGCTGGGATGCATCCCTTGGCAAGAGAAGGATGTTAGTTAAAAGGACTATTTGCTCCCAAGTGTTTTCTTTTCGGTCTTGTGAAAGGCGGTAACATCAAATGTGGGGTGAGGCTGCCCTCTGGTGGACTGTGATGAACACTGCAAGGTCTTTTGGCGAAGAGCTTGAGAACTACTGTCTAATGTCGGTAGTTGACTTTTTCCGACAGTTCAGAAAAAGGGCCATCTGCGGATCTTGGTTTGATCCCTCCAGAACATGGCTTGTCCACTTGCGGGTTCCCCCCACCGATTCACACATGCTTCTCTCAAGAGTTCCACCTCTTCTTGTCTTCTTTTCCCCACACAGCCCAGATTGAAGTGATCCCCTGCAAGATCTGCGGAGACAAATCTTCCGGGATCCACTACGGGGTCATCACTTGTGAAGGATGCAAGGTGGGGAACGGTCTCTTCAATCGCTGGGATCTTGGGTGTTGGCCTGAGACCCGTCGGCCAAAATTGTTTCCTCTTCCTTGCAGAGGGTGAGGGGTTGGGAGGTGGTTTTCCCTTTTCTGGAAGCAGGTGCCCATAAATTTCTACTGAACCAATTTTGGCTCTCTTCGCTGATGGGCCCCTGAACTGTTGGGCTTCACAAAGTCTTGGAGGCCACCAGTGAAGCTACCAAAGGTCCATCTTCTCAGTTCATCTTCTTGGTTTCCTTTCCAGGGCTTCTTCCGACGCAGCCAGCAAGGGAACGTGACCTATTCTTGTACTCGGCAACAAAACTGTCTGATCGACCGCACGAGCCGCAACCGCTGCCAATACTGTCGCCTGCAGAAATGTCTTAGCCTCGGCATGTCCCGTGACGGTAAGACCCATGTTGAGGTGCACCTCAGGGAGGGTTCCTGTCAGGGAATTGCGCAACTGGTGTCCAAATGAAATTAGAGACATTGACATGAACTTGTAATTTTATGTGAATAAGTATGTTTAAACATTTTAAATATATTTAAACAGCAGACAAGATAGTCAGGAACACACTAACATTATGAGGTAAATCACGTGAGGTAAATTGTGTGAGGTAAATCACGTGAGGTAAATTGTGTGAGGTAAATCACGTGAGGTAAATTGTGTGAGGTAAATCACGTGAGGTAAATCGTGTGAGATAAATCACATGAGGTAAATCACGTGAGGTAAATCAAACAGCAATAAACACAGAAGAAAAAGGCGGGAAAAACGAAAACTCCCCCTTTTACACCCAGAGCAACTAATCATAACATAGATTTCCTCATGCAGGAGCCCTCCAATCAATCAACCACAACTGTGTGTTCTGGCCCCTTTATTGTTCCAGCTACTAAATTAAGTATCTTAATAGTTCCCAAGTCTCATAAGATTTTGTGTTGGGAGATGTTCCCTCTGTTCGTTGCCTCACTTTGGTGGTGACACACCACAAAACAGGACAAGGGGGGAGAAGAACCAGGTTGGAGATGTTGAGGAGCTTCAGGTGACTACTGAATAAACCAAGTTGCTCATGTCCTGCATTATTTTTATCTTTAATTTGTTTTCTCTTCCAGCTGTCAAATTTGGCCGGATGTCCAAGAAGCAACGAGACAGCCTCCATGCCGAAGTCCAGAAACAGCTGCAACAGCAACAACATCAAGGCGGAGAGAGTTCCACCTTCTCCTTGGGCATGGCCGATGGTCAACTCAAGCTGGATCCTTCTCCAGATCTCCGGGAAGGCTCCCCTGCTCTCCTCACTGGACAGACCCGCCTTAGCCAGTCTCCGGATGAGACGGCGGGCTTGGCCTACTCTAACGAACTCCCCAAGGCGCAGAGCCTCCTGGGTGGAGAACAGCAGGACCTCTTCAAAAAAGGGTATAGTCCTGAAGTCATCAAGGTAGAACCCAGGACCAGCATCTATTATTCTTTGGAGACACAGGCATTGCCAGACCTCTTGTCCCCCAATGTCAGCAGAGCAGAACGGACAACAGCCAGCGAGACCCTTGACCTCTACACCAACCCGAGCTTTACCAGCTTCTTGGAGTGCCCACACCCTTCGCTGATGGAGATTGGTGAGTGAACGGAGGTTTCCAGAAAGGCTGGAAGAAATAGAAGCGTTCAGTGGATGATGGGAGTCCTCAGCGGAATAACAAGAGTCGGAAGAGACCTTGGACGTCTTCTCGTCCAAGGGGTTTTTAGCCCACGTCTCAAAATCAGGCTAAGGGAAAGCAACAGAAGTCAAGGCAGCCGAGACTAGATCCCAAAGCCGCTTCTGTGGGGTTCTGATTGCTCATACGGGACCACCTTGTTGTCTTCTCCTGCAGAGCACTTGACCCAGAATGTCCTCAAGTCCTATCGGGAGACCTGTCAACTCCGCTTGGAAGACCTCCACTTGCTGAGGTGGGAGACCTTCACCCGAGAAGAAATTGGGAGCTACCAGAAGAAGGTAAGATGGGGGGGGCACCCACTCTCAGAGAGGAAGACCCCCAACTTAAAGTTCTGTTGGAGGAGGAGGAGGAGGAGGAAGAGGAGTGTGGGGGGTCCTGAGCTGGGTGGGTTTTCTTGCAGACGTTTCATGACCCAGCTGGGTAACATCATCAATGGTAGAGGGGAGAGGGATTTAGGAGGAGGAGGAAGAAGAGGAGGAGGAATGTGGGGTCCTTGGTGCTCTCTGAACTTGGTTGTTTTCTTGTAGACATTTCATTACCCAACTGGGGAACGTCTTCAATGCTACTTCCTCTGGATCTTTACTCCCTTCTGTTTTCTCACAATCCACCCAAACTTCTTCTTCATCATCCTCTCTCTCTCTCTCTCTCTCCCTCCCTCCTTCTGTCCCATTAGACTATGGAGGAGATGTGGGAACGTTGCGCCTGCCGCATCACGGAAGCCATCCAGTACGTGGTGGAGTTCGCCAAGCGAATGGGGGCCTTCATGGACCTCTGCCAGAACGACCAGATTGTGCTTCTCAAAGCAGGTAAGGGGTGCGATGCAGTGGTGGGATTCCATGTTTTTTTTTACTACCGGTTCTGTGGGCGTGGCTTGGTGGGCGTGGTGAGACTTAGTGGGCGTGGCAGGGGAAGGAAACTTCAAGATCCCCGTTTCCCTCCCCACCCCACTAACCTGCTTTCCAGCTCCGTTCTCCTGTGCAGGGCAACACAAGACCCAGTCAATCAGCTGGGACTCAATGGGAGGCAGAGAAGAGATGGGGTTGGTGGGGGCCAGTCAGAGGTGGGATTGGCCGGTTCTCCCAACTACTCAACATTTCTGCTACCGGTTCTTCAGAACCAGTGCCAACTGGCTGAATCCCGCCTCGGGTGCGATGCCACACACAATTCACACAATTGTGGAGAACAAACGATACTTCCTTTTATTGTGTGATTATTATTTTTTTAAGGGCCGCCTTTATGCCGGGCATCCGAGATTCACATATTTCCTGTTTTTTTCCTACGTCGTTGCGTTTGGCTTTGCACTTCATGTTTTCAATTTCCTTCTCCCCTCCCGTGTTGTTGTTTAGTAACCCAACTAGAGAACTTCTGATTGACTGGATTAGAAGTGTGAGGAAATTCCTAAAATTGTTCCTGTCCCAAAGACAGGAGAGACCAGGACAGCGGTAGAGGGGTGCAGAATGTACCCGTTTTGGTCTGAGCTGAGGTTGCACCCCCCCCCCAAAAAGGAGGGGTTGGCCATGCTAACATTATCTTCTCCCCTCGCTTCAGGTGCCATGGAGGTCGTTCTGGTGAGGATGTGCCGAGCGTTCAATTCCGAGAACCGGACAGTATTCTTTGAGGGCAAATATGCTGGCCCAGAAGTCTTCAAATCTCTGGGTACGAGAGCGTCCTTCTACCTCTTGCGCCAAGAAAGGTGGAATCCCCTCTAGATTCGGGCCGGGGTCTAAAGTAGGGCGTAGAAAGGGGTCTTGCAAGATGTTTTGGTGACAGGGTGGAGTCCTGCTACTTGAGTGGGTTTGAGGAATGTCAACTGACCACGAGAGGTGGTTGCAACTCCAGGAGTTGATTTCCAAGATACATCTAACTTCCCCAAAGGGGAACGTGAAATTGTTATATCCTTCCTCCTGCTCTTTCTCCTCCTCATCCCATCTTCTTCCTTCTCCTCTTCTTCCTCTTCTCTTTCTCCTTCTCTGTCTCTTCCTTTCTCCTCATCCTATTGTCCTCCTCTTCCTTCTTCTCTTCCTTCTCCTTGTCCTATCTTCCTCCTCCTCTCCTCCTCCTCTTCCTCTGCTTCTTCCTCTTCTCTTTTTCCTTCTCTATCTCCTCCTCTTTCTTATCCTCATCCTATCTTCCTCCTCTTCCTTCTCCTTCTCCTCTTCCTCATCCTATCTTCATCCTTTTCTCTTCCTCCTCCACTGTCCTTCTCTGTCTCCTCTGTTCTCTTCTCCTTCTCTTCCTCCTCTTCTTCCTTCCCCTCTTCCTTTTCTCCTACTTCTCCTTCTTTGTCTCCTGCTCCTCCTCCTCTTTTGTGGGATCATGTGAACAACGAGTCTTCCTTTTTCTCAGGTTGCAATGAACTGATCAACTCCATCTTCGATTTCACACACAGCCTGTGTTCGCTCCACTTCTCCGAGAACGAAATTGCTCTCTTCACAGCCCTGGTGCTGATCAACGCAAGTAAGACCGAGGTTTCTGGTTGTGGAGTTAAACTCTGGCCCTCTTGCAATTCCTTGCTGTGGTTTGAGGAGGTTGTGGCTTCTTTAGTGGAAGAGAATACAAAATTGGGTGGCGGTTTTTGGCCTTTCCCCCCACATAACTGTATCTACAAATGTCTTGTGTTTTCACTCGTCTCAAAAAAAAAAAAAAGCAAAAAGAATTTACACAAGAGCTGGAAAGAGCTGGTTGGATTGACCAGCTGATCCTATAACCCAGCTTCAAATCAAAGCATTCATTTAAACCAGCGCTGAAGAACAGACGGGTTAAAAGACTCGGTCGCTGCACCGTCTAAATTATTCGCAGGCCTGAGAAAGTTTAAAAGAAGAATTAAAAAGTCAGACGTTTGCTTAAAGTCAAGCAGCTGCTCCAGGAAAGCCGTGGCAAAATCAGGCCGCCTCGAAACCTCGATTTTGGGGATCTACCTAGTTTGAAGGTTTTTTATTTGCATAGCTTTAAAAGCAGAGGCCTCCACACTTGGCAGCTTTAAGACTTGTAGGTTTCAACTCCAGCTATGCTGGCTGGAGAATTCTGGGAGTGGTTGCCTTTTTATCATCTCCAAGCTGCCAAGAGTCACCTGATCCGGAACGTGGGAAGCATATAAATTTAATAAATCAAAGGGCTGCACCCAAGCCTTGTTTTGCTTCTGCAAATGGAGTGAGGCCCCAGTAGGTCTTCTCTCTCCCTTTTGCAGATCGCCCGTGGCTGCAAGAGAAAAGCAAGGTGGCCTATTTGCAGAACAACCTTGAAGTGGCCTTCAAACAGATGTTGCAGAAAAATAACCGAGAAGGCATCTTGGCAAAGGTGAGTGTATCTGCCAGGGCTTCGAAGAGAGGAGTTAAACAAGAGTTGGAAGGGACCTTCTAATCCAACCATTCAGACAAATGGCTGTCCAATATTTTCATTAAAAAAAAAAACCCTGGTTATGAAGCACCTACAACTTCTGAAGGCAACTTTGTTCCACCGGTTAATTGTTCTCACTGTTCGGAAATTTCTCCTTAGTTCTGGGTTGCTTCTCTCCTTGATTAATTTCCATCCGTTGTTTCTTGTCTTGTTTTCTGGTGCTCATCCAATTTATTTATTTACCTTGTCAAACATGTACAAGATAAGCAGTGTAGGTATGAACACAAACAAGAACCAAGGGAGTAAATGCTAGATAAACGGGGATAGTAAGACAGGGGGGGTAGGGATGCTGGTGCGCTTATACACGCCCCCTTTAAGGACCTCTTAGAAATGGGGTGAGGTCCACGGTAGACAGTTTGAGGTTGAAACTGCGAGGGGTTGAGGCTGTAACCACGGAGTCGGGTAGGGCGTTCCAGGCGTTGACCACTCTAGGGCTGGAGTCGTATTTTCTGCCATCGCGTTTGAAGCGGTTTTCTGTGAGGTTGTATCAGTTATTTGCCCGTGTGTTATTATGATTGAGGCTGAAGAAGTCGTTGACGGGAAAGATGTTGTAGCGGACAATTTTGTGTACTAGGCTTAGATCGGATTTGCCGGCAGGAATAGCCAACACCCCCCAAAAGACAAGGAGATTCAAGCCGGTCCAATGAGTATAAAGATTCGTGGCAAGCTTAAGTTCTCTGTGAGAATCGGGCCAACTGACGGCTAAGGGAAAAGAGCGGGAGATAAGAAAGGAATTCAAGATAGGCTGGACTTAGATATCTCTTGTGGGCGTGCAGGGATTCGCTCAGCCTGGTCGTCTCCTACAATGGGTCACCTTCCAGGTGAGCCAGACCAGGTGAGATGATCTCATTCTCTCCCGCTTTCTCTTTCCAGTTGCCGCCCAAAGGGAAGTTGCGAAGTCTCTGTTCCCAGCACGTGGAGAAGCTCCGCTCCTTTCGCCAGATGTATCCCATGGTTGTCCACGCGGTTTTCCCACCGCTGTACAAAGAGCTCTTCAGTTCAGACTCTGACCCTCTGATCCAGGGGCCCACGGGAGAGTAACCCCCTCCCCCCCCACACACAAGCTGAGGACAGGTCAGGTGTTGCCTCCCAGTCGCTGGAAGCCGGATACAAAATGAAGACTGGGATCGAGGGGAGCAGTCGACAAGTGGGCGGGGCAGGACGAGGAGTTGGTGATTGCTTGTCTGTCCTCATTTTGGGGGTGTCCCACTTCATTCTGGAGGAAAAACAGCGTCCCCACCTCAAAATGCTCCAGTTTACATTTTAAGGGTTAGCGGCCGCGGAAGCAAGAAGCAATACTGGGGGATTATGTGGCATCGACAAATCCACCGGGAGATGGTTTCACGGGAAGACAACATTGGATGTCGCTGGCAGCTTGGGCGATCCCCCCAAAAATACCTCATTTGTGCCATTTTAACGGCAAGAGACTTGGCCAAGTTCAAAAGAAATTTATATAGATATATATGTATGCATTTAGAGAAAGAGATGGACAGATGTGGCTCTCTAAGATAGATTTTTTTTTTTTTTGCTAAGTCTGTATTTGATAACAAAGGCACCCCTCTCTGTTTTCCCCCCACCCTTCTTTCTCTTTGCCCTGTCACTTCGCCAACCAGCTTCAACTTCTGCATTTGTGCAAAAAAGTGTGCTTGTGGGGAGTACATCTCTGCACCTTGGACGCGGCTTTGCCGCCTCCGTTTAGAACCCCAATAAGTGGGTTTGCCTTATTAGCAATTTCCTCGAAGCCAACGCCCGTTTTCTTTGGAGACAGCGGTGCTAATATAAAGTTCCCTGGGTTGTTTTAAAACGCATAGAGCCGTGATGATGAACCTATGGCACGCAGGTGGCACGCAGAGCCATTTGTGCTGGCACGTGAGCCACAGGCAAACTTACTTCACTGCGCATGTGTGCCCCTCCCGGCTGATTTTCAGCCTGTTTGAGGCCTTTTGCAGCCTCCCAGAGGCTTGAAGAAAGCCTTTGCAGGCCGAAAAATAGGCCCATTTCATCACTTCCTGTATTTACAGAAATACCGGAAGTGACGAAATGGGCCCATTTTTCGGCCTGCAAAGCCTGCAGAAGCTTTCCTCAAGCCTCAAATGAGCCAAAAATCAGCTGGGAGGTGCAGTGCAGGTAGGGGCCTTAGGGAAGCCGCCTGGGTGAAGCAGTAAGCGAGGGGAATCCCGTCACAGCTGATCGTAGAAACAGCTGGTTGTTGGGAGGGGAAAAAGAAATACCTTAAGGGGTGACTGGGGGTGGGGTGAGCAAGCATTAGGCGGGTGGGGCAAGCAAGCGAGTGGCGACCAGGTGACTGGGTCAGGGTGTGGCCAGCCAGAAGTTACTACCAGTTTGCCGACCCACACCAAATCCTTGCTACCGGTTCACATGAACCGGTGTGAACCGGTTGAATGCCACCTCTGTGCAAAACAATCCATGTTGGTTTGATATTTAAAATCCTTGCAAATGGTTCATCTTTGCAGGACTAAGTTTAAGACACTCTTAGCTTTTCCGCCCATGACTTGTCGAGATGACGCCACTGTCCACTTGCACAGAAAAATCCACGACATTGTATCGGATGTTCGTGGATTTAACTCGAGCCCTTTCTTCTATTCTTCTAATCTTTTCCTTGGTGGGTTTTTTTTTTAATGGTTTGGAATATTTAAAGAACGGGAGGGAGGGGAGGCCATGTAAATACTGGTTGAAAAAGTTTTATTTTTTATTTCTAAAACTAAAGAAGTTGGTCTTTAAGAAAGCGTACGCTGGAAACCGTTTAGTCTACTTTTTAATTTAATTAAACCACGGTGCATATTGGTACGATGGTTGGATTTTATTTGCTGGCTGGCTCTCTTTATTTCTGTTATTGCTGCGATAATTGTTTTACGAGTTTTCAGGTGGGAAGGTAACCGCTGAATGTTTGAAAGGTGACAGATCAAATCCACATAAGGGGTAGTTCCTATTTTCTGATCTATGGTTCTGGCAAACCATCTTTCAATTATTTTGATATCCATTTGTGAGCTTTGGAAGAAGTTGCTGAGATGGTCAGGATTCAGTGATCACCTTGACATCACTACAAATTAAATCTCAGAAATGGATGCTTCTTGACTTTAAGGGACATGCAGATTATAATTTTTTTCTCCAGCCCAGAAGGTAACCAGGACATCAGGGGCAAAGTTGGAGCTAATAAAGGGACTCCCACAAATTATCTGACTGGGTTGCCTTTGTGCCACACCCGTTGGGGTCATCACAACAGCCTATAAACCCTTCGCCTCTCGGTCAGAGAAACGGTAGCCATCAACAGCTCTTTTTCTCCAGGGATTTTATTTTATTTTTAATGGGGTCCCATTCATGGGCTTCCCAGCATGGAAAGCCTCCCCCTAAGTTGGGAACGGGAGGGCCGAGTTTTGACCTTGCACCTTCGATCCAATCGATACATTTCAAAGCGCTTTATTTGTTGGGTTGCCGGAATGAAAATTGGCGGCAGCTTCAGTTTGTGAGAGTGTGAGTGTGTGTGTGTGTGTGTTGTTGCTTTGCTGCTGTGTGTGCCAAGCAGCAGTTAAAAAAAAAAAAAAGAACCCAGAAGACAAATGACAAAGTGGGAAAGCGAATGTTCCCAAGGCAGGGAGGACAGAGGGACGGGAGACGGGAGACGGACTCGTAAGCGGTGAGAGCAACCCCAGGTAAGCCATTTGTTCCTTTTTCGGAGCTATTTCTGGGCTATTTGCAGGTGAGGCACCTGCCTCGGGGCGACTTCTCTTTGGAAGGAGGAAGATCCTTCCATGTGGACATTTTTATTTTGTTTGGGGAAGGAGAGAGGGATGAGCAAACGCGTTGCACACTTGCTCGTCCTCTCAAAAGAACAAGCAGGGGGTCAAGCTGAATTCACACGATCCACATTGATTTTTTTCCAACTTTCCACCCAGGTGGCTTCGGAGAGTGGACATCCCACCCAGGGCACCAAATATTCCAATCCAGGATCCTTTTGATGTCCCGGTGAGTCTGACCGTCCAATTACCAGCGGTTGGAGAGGAGGAGCCCCCCCAAAAAACCAGTGGTAAGTTCGCAAGTTTGATGGTAACTCGTTGGCGTTAAGGGCAGGCTTGGCAGGGTGAACGTAACTCAATTGGGGTCTGGCAGGCAAAAGTCCCAGGTTCGAATCCAGAAACTTGGAACCCTGAAAGCTGGATGGAGGAAGGGGGACGAAGGAAGCTAGGCTGGGTTCTGCAGAATCGAGGCTCCCTGTCGCAACCCTGCATGATTTCGGTTTGGAAAACTGAACGATAAAAGGAAACTTTAAGCCCCGTTCCCTTTTGCCGGATAATGTAACACACAAATGCACATCTCTCTCTTTTTTTTCCCCACCTTCTTTTTAAATAAACTACAGTATATAATAATGATTTCAGCCCACGCGCTGAAGGTGCCAAAGGAATGCTCTCCGCTCGATCTAAAATTATAAAATAAAAATAAATGGGTTTTTACGAGTCAGAATAGGCTGGGGGAGACTCTCTCTTTGAAAATATAATTTTATTTTATTTTATTTTTTTAAACACAGATTTTTGGAGGAGTTTTGCGCGAAGACGCAGCTCTGAGCCTTGTTCCCATCTGGTGTTCTTCTGCCCCAGATATTTGTGGGTTGTCAATTCCCACAACCAGATGGAAGACAAGGGACTTAAAGGCCACCCCTATAAGAGACCCCCCCCTTTTTTTCTAAAAAAACAAACAAACACCGGAGTTTATGAAGCTTTGAAATTTGGAGCTATTTCCAGCCATAAAACTGGCAAGGTAGGTTCAAAATATCTGATAAAATGTTCCGAAAGGTTGGAGTTCAACCGGGTTAAAATCCAACAGGTTCAAATCCAGCAGGGATTGCAAGATTTTGCACACACACACACCCCAAAAATCTCCCATTTAAGCTTTTTTCTTCTGCTGCTGCTCTTGCTGCCCCACTTTGACTGCATCAGGTTAATTAAATGTTCCTATTAAAATTCAAATTCCGAGCCAGAGACTCTGCAGGAGCTGAAAATGTGCGAGGTGCCAATTTTTGCATCACATTTTGTACTCCGTAAAAGGGTGAGGACCAAACAGGACTGTGAAGAGGAAGGAACAGCTTCAAATCCTTCTCCTGCTCCCGCAAAACCCTTCAGATTAGTTTCTTTTCACCCAGTTTCAAAGAGCAGGCGGCAGTGTGGAACCGAAAGGACATTCCATTCATATTTTCTTCAAAGACCGATTAGATGACTGAAGCTTCTGCTGCGAAAAAAATCTAATTGGAGAGCATGATTGATGACTCTGGGCTACGGACGTTTTTCGTTGGATGATATACCCCAAGGGGTGGGGTGGGGGGAAAAGCAGGATCAAGGGCGACAGGGAATTACGTATCTCAGAATTGGCTACGCCCCGGTTAGTGCCGGACGTAGAATGTTAACTTCAAATAAATCCTCTTTAGTTTTGGGAGTAGCGGCTCGAGGCTCATAATTGAATTGGAGTAACTGCCAGAATCCGGACACTGGACAGCCATTTGTCTGGAATGGGATAGGGTCGCCTACTTGAGGCGATGGTTGGGCTAGATGACCTTCGAGGCGCCTTCTGATTGTCGTTCTGTTAACCTTGGCTTAGCCTCTTTTCTATGGGATCAAAATTTCAGTCCATGGGGACATGGGAGTGCTGAGAAACGCCAAGCCCCCTAGATGTTGCCTTCTGGCCTTGAACATCCAGACTCTCCTGACCCGCCACCCCTCTTTCTCCATCTCCTGCCCCCTGCGCTGCCCCGTAGCCTCTGTCTTCTTGGCCTCTTCGTTTCTTGTTTTGCTACGGACGCCTCGGTTTTAATGCACCGGTGGGAATTTTGCCAAGGAGTTACTTAGAAGAAATTGCATTGCAGTGGCTGGCTGGGATACGGGAGCTGTCTTTGAGCATGGATGAGCGATAGAAGTCCAGTGTTGTCAGAGGCTTCCTTGCTTTGTTTTCTGGAGTTTATGGTGGTGGTGGGGCGGGTTATGTAGGCCTTCCATCCATCAGAATAGAGCTGGAAGGGGCTTCGGAGGTCTTCTAGACCAACCGCCTGCTCAGGCAGGAGACCCTGTGCCATTCCAGACAAGTGGATGTCCAGTCTTTTGTTGGAGCAGCACCTGCAACTTCTGGTGGCAAGACATTCCGCTGGTGAATTGTCGTCACTCTTAGGAAGTTGCTCCTTAATTCCAGGTGGGTTCTGTCCTGGATTAGTTTGCCCCTTTTGTTTCTTGTCCTGCCTTCAGGTTGCTTTGGGGAATGGGTGGACCTCAAAGGTTTCTCAGGTGTGGCTTACTTAGGTAAGAAAGCTCAGGGTGAAAAGAAATCCATCTTGAATGACAAATGTTCCTTTCCAGATCTTCAAAATCCAGCTTCAGTACGGTAGGTTGTCTTCTTCTTCTTCCTGTTTGTTGATGCCTTCTAACTGTCAACATCTTCGTGTTGTTTAGCTGTTGTTTCAGGAAGTTCTCGAGATGTTGAGCAGGCCCTCTTCGCTGGAACTGCCGTCCTCTTGGTTCTGGGTCTTTCTGGGGATGACCTTCTTGGTGGGATCTGGACACAGCTGTTCTTTCAAGTGCAAATGCTTGGTTCAGGAGAAGGTGGTCTTCTGCAACAGCCGGAATCTGACCACTGTGCCCATCAAGATCCCCCAGGATTCAGAATTCTTGGACTTAAGCCAAAACAGCCTTCGTACTCTACATCAGGGCATGTTCTCCCGTCTCCAAGCCCTAAAAGAGCTGGACCTGAGCTACAACATCATCTCCAACATTGAACAGGGGGCCTTCAACGGCCTTCAGAAGATCATGACCCTCCGACTAGCGGGCAACAAGTTGAAGATGGTCCCAGATGGGGTCTTCACAGGGT